GGCGTTGCTGCCGGTGCCGTGCCCGCCGCCTTGTTCCGTACGCGGTTATTCCTGCGGCGTTGCGCGCCCGAAGTGCCGTTTCTTGTTCCTTGTGGAGGCTTTGTTCTTCCCCTTGCCTCTCTCTTCCTCGGCTGGAGCTCACGAAGGGGGTGTTTCTTGGTGGTGCTTGTCGCTGTTCTCAAGGAAATTACCCAGCGAGGTTATCTGAAGTGCAAAGGAATCCGTGCTTTAAAATTATAATTGTTCTTAGCGTAATGATTTCCTTGCCAAAATCTACAGATCTTGAGAGGGCTGACATAAAAAGAGTTAGAAGAAAATACGGCCTGTCCCTTTCATAGTGGTGTTACCACCAGTAGCGTGCGCAGACGTTTGAAATGGTCAGTAGGACCCGAAACTCCACTACTTGGAATTGCGAAGCCACTCGGAAAGTTCTTTGTGTGCAACAATTGCCGCTGAAGCTGTGAGGGGGAAAAGGAAGATGCCTCTCCTACAGCCCTCTCCTTGCTGTTTGAATGATTGCACATGGGTCTGTGGGAATGACTTGGTTATCTTGAGTGTGCTTTTACTTAAAGTTTTTCCATCCCCGAACAGCACGTTACATATGTCGAGGAAATTACCAATGCGCTGCATCCATTGCATGGCTGCACATTAGCTAGATGGAGCGTGGCATGATTGCTGGTGCTTGGGTGTAGGTGATAACGGCACAAGCAGAGAATACAAGCTGTCGGAGCTGTAAGGCAGAATTAATTTCTTTTAGGGATTTCCTAGTGACATCATTCATAATTATATGGCTTAATCCTCTAAGCTGCTATAGTGCCTTCAGTTCACATTGGGCCAAATCTACCAAGTTCTGAGATGATTTCTATTCCCGCCCACCTGACTGAATCAGTTGGAGTTTTGCTTGTGTAAAGCACTGATTTAAGGGGAATGGCCCAATTACTCTAAAGAGGACTTGAAAGCAACATCAGTCAGGATCGGGCCCGAGCTCTGCGCAGTTCTCCAGTGAGAGCAGATGGGTTGATGGTTAATTTTTACTTTAGAAAGAAAGGGTATTTCCAGCTGCTTGTTCCACTGAAGAGAGGCAGCGCAAAACTCTAGATGCGAGTGCGGTTGATATGCCTGTGGTATCTTTCTGATAGACTGTGGGAGACCACAGGGGAAAAGGAGACTTGGTTATCATACTGAAGCTGCTGATTTGTTGTTTATTAATTATTAACTAGGCTTTTGAGTGCCTGCTGCAGTTTGAAGAGCCAGCACAGGAAAATGACTGGGTATTTAAAGCAGCGTAGGCTCTTGCTAAGTAGTTGCAGCGACATTAGAAATAGCCTCTGTTTTTGAAAGCATTTTAAAAGCTGGATGGGGGCACACTGAAGTTGTCACACATGATCCTTCACTGGCATAAATCGAAGCCTGTGGAGCTACAGTTATCTATACTTGTTGAGCCTCGGGTATTCAGGCTGGAATAAACAGCTTTAATAGAGCAGTGGAGCTACTGTGATTTATGGGAGTGCCTATACTTGCTAGATGTGGTTTCTGTCCTCACCCTGTTGATGTCTGTGGCAGAGCTTTCGCTGACTTCAGTGGGGCCAAGATTTGTCTTACTGGATGTAGTTTGTCCTTTCCATTGAGCAAGTTTCAGCCCCTACTTGTCCTCCCTTCGTATTAGTAGTTTTTTGTTGATCTGAATAGATCGAAGCCCTTTTAAATGAGGAACAGCACACTCCATCCTTGGCAGGGACAGCAGACGCTCTCTTTCCTGATAGGTAGGTTGACACAATTTAGTGTGCTGCTTTTCTTCTGAATGAAAACCGTAGAAGAAATGTTAAGTCCCCCTATTTTTCCCACATCCCTGTAAAAGCATGGTGTGTGTACACGCTTGGATATGTCCACATTCTTGGAGCTTCAGTTCTGTCAGATGCCTCTAGGTTTTAATTTTCCTTTTAGAGTAAGGTTGCTAGAAACTTCCTAAAGCTGTCTTTTCCATATTTTTTACTACTCTGCCCCTTGTGCAGTAGTATCCTCTGCATTAGTACAACACATTATTCCAACAAGTTTTAATCCTTGAGTAAAGGACAAAGTGCTGTGGTACAGATGATTTATGAGTAGAATATGTAACTTCTTGTTCGTTCTGTACACCTCAGTGAGTTCTTAGAGCCTTTCAAAGAATCAAACTAGAATATTTGCTGCTTAACTGATCCAGAAGCACAGTCCTGGAATAACAAATGATTCAATTTAGATGTGAATGTGAAGTCCACTCAGTGGAAATTAGTCGGGATGTGCGTTACAGGTAACGTCCTTGCTTCACGGAAGTCAGTGGGACTTTCACCATTGACTTCAGCTGTGTCAGGATTTCATTCTTGGAGCCTGTTCCCATCACTAATGATGCTAGTGAAAATTTTCATTAGGAAGGCGCTTGGATTCCACACGAGATAGTTGACCTGTGTCTGAGGCACAGATCTCATGCCACGCTTATTACTATGTTGAGAGAGACAACGTGGTCAGGCCGGCCTCTTCCCATCCCTAGAAAAAGGAGATACATTTAAGAACTTGCTGTGCCATAACCATCAAGTTGCTCTGAACATTTGAGCGTAGCAACTTCAAACTGCTTGAGTGTTTGTCTTTTCTGTCCATCCCATCAGGTCCCTACTAGTTCAAGGGGCGCCTGGTCTTTTCTTGGGCATGAGCCATTTGCAAATTGTAGGTTTTGATTTGTGCTTCTCCAGTAGATGCTCCTCCAGACCAGAAGGTACTACTGCCGGATCGGGTGAATGAATGTCTCCTATTTGTAGGTAGGCTTTGGCAGGCTTGACAGGCACCGGCTGTGCTGAAATACGGAGGTGTGCTTCTGAAGTGGTATCAAACAGTTTTGTGAGTCACCCAGGGCCCTTGGATTACAGGATGGCTTCCTTTGCCCTGCTACTGTATCTCCTCCAGGGTCATTTTTTCCAGTTGGGAAAACAGATTCCATTTAGACTATGAGCTGTGGAGCCTGATTGCAGCTAGGCATGAAATATGAGAGGAATTTTCAGTCCTCACGTCTCCGTGGAAATAGCATGGCCAATAGATGAATGCTGCAAATCTCTTTCATCTTTTTGCATAGGTGGTTATGCTTTTATTTATTTACTATTCTTTAGCCTTGTGAAGATACTGGATTAATGTATCGGTTTCAGAATGTTTTAACCTGTGTGTAGTAAAATCTGTGGGAAGGAAATAGTTTAATTGAAAGAACTGGAAAAGCATATCCTTCCTGCAGCAGAGTTACTGTCTTATAAGTAATTACTGTGTACAGTGTATGTGTGAGTGTGATGGTACTAGGAATGTCTGCGCTAGATATTCTTACCCATACTTTTCGTTACCTGATTTGAAATAAAAATTGATCTAACTCTCTCTCTCTCTCTGCCTCCAACAGCTGTAGGATTTGGAATGGATCCTGACTTACAAATTGATATCATCACAGAACTGGATCTTGTGAATACAACCCTTGGGGTAACGCAAGTGTCGGGGCTACACAATGCCAGCAAAGCATTTTTATTTCAAGGTAAGAGAAACATCCTCAACTTCTCTTCCCTCACTGCTGTCTGCGTGAGCTCGTAAGAGCTTTGACGCCAAACTGATTCCCTGGTCTACCTGAACTGTCACTTTCTTTTAGTTTTATATTTTGGGAATAGTCCTCGTTACTTTCCTGAAATATGTATGACACTTTTTTTTTTTTTTTTTTTAGTGTGCTGTCAGGTAGTTGAGGTTAGCGATCTTTAGGGGAGTATTTTTGGGTGGGTTTTTCAACACTCGCCAGTTTTTATTTCTAACTAAGTATGTCCAGGCGGTTCCAAGGTGTGGACTTGGTTGTATTCTTGTGTACTTTCCCTCTGTTCCTGTGCACATGTGGACACACACAGAGCTGAAGATATAAACTATGAGAAAGCATTTAATGTGTTGACACTGATTAGTAACATGGAGTGAGTCTTGCATCAACTTTGTGGAAACTGTTCAAGTGAGAAAATTGAACAGTATTGCGTTTAACTGTCCAAGCTGAGTATCAGGTACAGAATAAGTCACTTTGAATGGTGTTTTTTTTTCTCATTCAATATTCTAAGATATGCTTGTGAAGTATTTTAAAACACTGTTGTTGTTTTTGGTTTTTTTTTTTTGTATTTTTAGTGAGTCAAATTCTGGATGAATTAGCAAGTTTTACCATGGACTTAAGTCAGGTCCAGATTAGGAGCCAGTGTCCTGTGGGGTGGAAGCACTGAGTTGCTACAATATGCTTATTAGGCGAGAAAGACATTTATATCAGTTGAGATTAACATGCACATTAAAGCACAGTTGGGAACATTTTTATTGTGGAGACTTCCTATGTTTGTTTTTACTGTGCTTTACTCTGTGTTGAAGTGTGCATGTTAGTGTCTCACTTTTTGGTATTTGTCCTCTGTAGTTGTTTTTAAGAGGCAAAGGATTATGATCTCATTTAGCTTTAGTTCTTCATCTGCAGTGCTGACTGACTTTCTCATAAGTAATAAAAGAAGCGGGTCTATAATCTTAGTTCATTGTTCACCTGGCCAAGGCCGGGTTCGGAGCCAGAGCAGAGAGGCTTCTGGAGACCTCCTCAGAATTTGTTACTCGTATTTCAATCTTTTATGGTACAATAAGTAGCATAATTTTCACCGATTCCCAGATTAATGTCCAGAACAAGAGCATTAATTTATTCATGTAAAGGTATCAATTGTTTTTCTTCTGATACCCTGACTCCAGGCTTGTGTATTACAGACAAACAATATTAAAGTACGGTCATTCCTCTAAGGATTGCAGTAGCCTAACTGACTTAAAATATTTTAGTATTTTCAAGTGCTATTCCATGCAACTAATCACAACCGTGCTGACGAACTGTCACAGTGAGTTTTCACAGGCTGGTGGTCAGAGCTGCAGGGAAGGAGACTGAGATGTCTTTTTCAGGACACCAATTGAAGCCATTGATACTGAAAGTAGCTTTGAAAGGCTAATGGTGAAGATGGTATGGATATTCACCTCTTTTTGCCTTGGAGGACTCCATGTGTAATTTACAAACTTAGCGAAGACTAGTGTAAAAAAGGTACAGCTCGTAAAATTCACTTGAGCAGATAAATTGCAAGATATGTGTTCATGGGAAGCAATGAACAGAAATTCACTGTATGAGGTGAATAAACCCTTTGAAGCCTGTAGTTAGGTAAATAAAGCTTTTGTTAATTCCCAGAACATTATTTTTTCTTGCTAATGCACACAGGAATAGCCCTGTGCTTGGAGATAGCCTCTAGTATAAAACTTCTTCGAAGATAGCTCAGGACTATTATTCTCTTCAGATAAGCTCATCAGCCCTTGGGCTGGGAGGAGGCTGAAGACCTTTGGTCTATCACTGCATCCCGAGAGAGGTCTGCAAGGGGTCTTTTGCTGCTGCTGTCAGACAGGATGGAAGTCCGAGGCTGTCCCGTTGGCTGCTGCCCTTCTTGTTCGCATCTGTTATTTGTTAAATGTCAGCAGTATGTTCGCAGCTGAATGAATTTCCTTTTACTAATAGAGGTGACTTAACTTTACAACTACGGTTTGGCTGTCTGCGAGGTCCTTTGGCTGGAACCAGGAGATACTTAATTTTGTTTTTTATCTTGCCATGTGGTAAAACCGATATAGAAGTTAGGGCATTGTACGGGCAACTGCTATGTCTAAGTTAGAAGTAATGCTTTTTCCCACAGGGATTCACAAAAAAACACCTCCCAGCCAATGTGACGCTCCCAGAGGAAAGACTGGAAGTTAGCACTTAGGTTCAAAATTATTGTATCCCCTTGGACCAGCTATTTCAGTCTCCAAGATGTGGTCCTTTCAGCAGAGCTTTGCTTTGATTAGTTCTTGCCGTACGTGAGTAGCTAAGGCGTGCTGTGCCTTGCTGTGCCATGCTGCTCCAGCGTTGCCTCTGGGGCTGCGGGCAGGGGAGGACCCGCTTCACCTGCCAGGCTGATTGCTGAGCATGGAGCCACGTTAGAAGACCTTTTAACTCGTAGGCTTTTGCTACTGAGGATTTCCTAGTTTAGCAAATGAGACGAGTTTGTGAATGTGTTCTTTGGCGTGCAGTTTTCATAGGGATGTTTTTGCCTGCTGCCTTTGGCGGTGTCCTTACAGCAATGTAACAGGGCTCTGAGCTTGCACGAAGGTTCCCTGTGGATCATTTTCTGTCTTGTAAGATGTATTTCCTAAAATGGCTTTAGTAGAGCTGTTCAAACTGAGTGTTCCTTTGCGTGTCCCTGGATGTCTGCATCTTTGAGGTAGAGAAATGGTAATTTTTCCCCAACCCAGACAGTTATGTATACTGCTGTAGTGAAAACATGGGTTATTTTCCTAGGTAAGGTTCTTTTTCTGTGAATTAAGCCCTTTGAAACGGAAAGCTTTGTAAGTTTTGGGCATTCTTTCAGTTGCATTTAGAGGCAAAAAGAAGAAATGAAGGAGTGTGTGTGTTGGGAAGATATGCACAAAAGAAAGAGAAAATACTATTTTTTTTTAAATGTATGATCAGTGATGTTAGCTCTGCTCCAGTAAGTGCCATACTGTTTGTTACAAAGTTTCTGTGGAGTGATGTCATGATTTGATTTATCCTAGAGAAAATGTTGAAGGATTCTTTTCCCTGGAGCGTTAGCGATTTCAGTCCAAGACAGCCTCAACGAAGCCAGTGGAGTGTTCTGATTTTATAATACTATTGGTAGTAACAGCTGAAACTCGGATTTCTGTGTGAAGCAGCTTTACAGGCAAAGAAACAAATTCAGCTCCATTTTGTGTGACAGCATGGTAGAACCAAAGTGACAATTGAGAGATGTGGGTTGCCTTTGGGCAAGCAAATCTGTTTCTAATTCAGAAAAGCATAGAAACCTATAATTAAGTGTAGTCATCTGAGTGGTCCTGTTGGGCATGGACTTCGATTATTAGAGTATTTCAGCTGGATTTTTGATTGATCAGTTCCATTATTTGTGTGTTTCAGTTCCATTCTCTGTAAAATGGGGATGAGGGAATCCAAAAAGCAGTGTAAGTGCTGACACTGTGAATGGGATGAAATGTAGATATCTAACTTGTAAACGCAATTCTGCAAACACTCTGACTCTTAAGACCCCTAATGTTAAGGTGCCTTAATTATTTATCTTATAGTTATTTATATGAACAAGAGGGGGGAAGAAAGGTCTTTGTGTCCAAATGGGTTGTTCTAGCACAAAGAGACGAAGGAGGGTGAGTGGAGGTTCTTGACTAGAGTGCTCTTGGGGAACGGGGCACCCAAGATCCTGGTGTCTGACCCCATATTTCCTCACCTCCAACCAGGGGTCCAAGGAATTCAAGGAAGCAGTTCTGGGGGTGGGCGGGAAATCTACCTCAAAGAAATGTACTGAAAATATTAATCATCCAGTTAATGCATTACAGTAACATCTTACAAACATTGTGAGTGAAAGACATCTGTAAATAGCATCTTACAAACATGACAAAATTATACTGAAATTCCTAGAACAAGATGATACTATACATTTTAGTACATTAAGAACCACTGAGCCATGGGTCACTTATTGGGGCTTGGTCCTAGTCTGTGTTTCAGATAGCAAGGAAGCAGGGCTTCTTTTGACCCTGTAGGTGGAAACCTCAGCAGGATCTTGAGTTGAGTGGCAGAGAAAGGCTCTCATTATAAATAAGGCAAGAGGAGGTGCTTAACTGGTCATCCTGTTTCTAGGTAGACCGAGCCCAATGTTTAGCCTAGCTGTTACATTATGCAGTTACCTTAACCAGTCTGACTTTTGTTCTGTGCTCAGTCCTTTTTGGAGAAGTAAAATTTTATTCCTTTTACAACCTGTCAGCTATGCCCGTTTCTTTTTAATTCTTCTCTCAACATCTCTTTTGAACTAACAGAGGCTTAAAGCCTTTATTTATAAAGCAGGTCCCCCAAGAAGTTTATTAAGGCTTTGCTGTTTCTTTTCCTAGCAATCTAGCAGTATTTTTCAACTTAGTTGTTAAATTAGGAATGGTCTTTTTACTATGCATGCTATGTATAGCGCTCGGTGAAATAAACCACCAAGTACTGTTAAAAGTCTAGCTATGTGTAGTCCTTTCTTCCTTGACTGTTTCATTACATCTATTAAATGACCACTGGGTTTGTAAGAGCAAGACCTGGCCTGCGGCTCCTGCAGCCCAGAGTTCAGTCATGCTCCTTCTTCCCACTTTGTACCGGTGACTGCCGAGTTCTTTTCTCTACAGTCGTGGCTCCAACAGGAAAGGTGAAAGAATAACAAGTATCTTGAAGGACAGAGAAAGGCAATGATTTTGTGAGGAAAGAGGGAATCCTGAGTTCTTGAAACAGGATGACTGTCCTGCTTCAGGCCAAAAGAGAGAGCAATGCCGCATTCCCCAGTGGGTAGAGGTGCCTCCCAGCAGACTCACGTGAACTTCCAGATGCAGTAGAGCCCTCACTGTTGGTGTTTCTTTTCAATGTGTTATGGATCCTGACTTTTTTTTCCAGACAGCTTCCTTCTTGACTTGCTAATTGCT